TGGCGCCTGACGCAGCGAAATCTGTTGCTGTTGCTGTTGCTGCTGTTGCGACTGCGTCGGCGGTTGTTGGCCTCTGCGAAACAGCGATCTGAACTTCATCATGGTCGCTCTTCACACTTCACTGGGCATTCAATTGAAATTAAAAAATCATTATTCCCGAAAACGCGAAGATTTATCGTTTCATTTTTCCAATCGATAATATAGTTTAAAATTATTTAATTTATAAATAAGTTATATTGCGTAAATTCACTGGATAAAATTATTTAGTTTCATAAAACTGAACGAAAATTTTCACTGTGTTCCATTTCATATGTTCTTTATATATAATTTCAACAAGATCTTAATCAATAAAAATTTCATTTCTAAAACTACTTCCCTTTCACAAAGTCAAACTTCGTTATCGACAAATATATAAACACAATCTAGTTTTTCTATAATCATTGCTTTTATACACAACATTAAAATTCATTTATATAATTTTTCACTTTTTATAGGATACTATAGATATTTATACACTACACTATGAATAAGAATTTAAAAAAATTATAATTTAATTATAATTATAGTTTTTTTATAAAGTATAGAAAATTTTTTGTAAAGAGAACACTGTATGTATGTGCTACTTTCACTAGGTAAAACATTTCAAGTTTAATTAAAATACATCAATAAAAATTTTCAACTTCTTTCTCGAACGGATTTTCTCGATCATGTCATCTGAAGTTAAGGTTACACGACGAAAGATAATCGGTTTCCTGCAGCGTGTGACACAAGCCCAAAGAGAAATTTGAAGATTCGTACAGAATTATTTGACCTCGAACTACTTTTAGAGATCCTTGTTCATGAATGTATACGAATTCCAACAAAATACGTATAGATTCACTTAGATTACAACCTCTGATGACGACCACTTGTTGCATCAATCGGCTGAATTCTATGGCGTGAGTGTGTTTTTTCTCGATGTTTATGCGAGAAATATATTTGCATCCTTGATCATGGAATTTGCAAGATTGACTCTTTCCAAATGAATTCTTGATGAAGTGAAGCGTTGTATCATTATTCAAACTCATCGGTGATCATATTAATAAAATTCTAATCATTGATAATTGAGCCTTTTAAAGACTAATCATTAATTTCTAAATTCAGAACTTGAAAATGTTGATAACACTTTTCCTGAATAATAATTTTTTTCAAAAAATAAAGAAAAACGATACATTCCAATCCACTGTACATCAGGCACTGAATACAAGATTCGACGAATCGACGACCAAGCTTGCCGGGAAAAGTCTGATTATTGGAAGAGTGGGAGAAAGTGGTAGTGGTAGTGGCACTTAGAAATGAAGGTGGGAGAAATAACGGGTGTCCTATTTGCATTATCAAAGTACAGAGTAAGATAGAAACTTTACCAAAATAATAATATAATAGAACACCCGTATGTCTCCCACTTCCATTTCTAAGTGCCATCACCACTATTAATTTCTTCCACTTTTTCAGTGATTAGAATTTCTCGACAATTCTTCTGTTGACAATTCGACTGATTCGACTTAGATTCTCACCAGAATGGTTTGCCCCACTACAGTTTCAACCATTTTGCCAGACAAAGGACTTGAGAAACTCGGTTTAGATATTAAATATACAGAAAATTATGACATAACAATAATATTGCTAATTCTTTTTGAGATCCTGTTGATATAGATAAAATATTTTTCTATACAAGAAAAAATCAAAAATCAAATAAATAAAATCTTATTTTTATCTATGAATCTTAATCAGTTTATTACAGAAGGAACATGATATTTATTTTATAAATAAAATGTACAAAATATCGATGTAACAAGAGCATGAGCAGTGAAATTTTAATTGCGCAAAATTTAGATTTCTTACAAGAAGAAAGAAAAATTTAATTTAATTTTTAAATAATAATAAGTTATTTAAAAAAGAAAATATATAAAACAGTAATGTATAATAAGTAATTTTTGAAAAAATTAAAAAATTTATATTTATAAATTTTATAATCATGTATAATAGTTCACATTCACATATTTTCTAGAAAAAAATCATTAATTAAAAAAATCATTTAATTAATCAGTTCAAAAATAGGATTTTAGTTATTTAGTTTCTTATTAGATTTTTTCAAAAGATCTACAATCACGAAAGATAAAGAAACAGATCGATTTAAGATAGTCCGCATCAATTCTTTGAGAACGAATAAGTATGTAAGTGCTTACTTACATATACCATCAAAGATAGGCGAGTACAGAGGGGTGAGGAAGAAGAGGTAGAAACTGCTTAAGGAGGCCACGGAATCTGCAGACGTCGTCTCACCATCAACCAGTTTTCTCATACGGTCGACATATGGTATGTACCCGGTGGTCTAAACTTCTTTAGAATTAATATATGATTTAATTTTATTACATAAAATCTGCTTTTTAACATAAAATCGAATACTATCGATATAATAATATCGATATATAATATTGTAAAAATTAACTACTAAATATTATAGATTGAATTAAAGTAAATTCAAATCTTATAATTATAGTATTCTTATAATAATAAAAATTTCTTCTAATAATATAATTATAATAAATTCGAATAAGCTAAAAATTAAATTCAAATCTTAGTCTTAGATTAAAATTAAAATATAATTTTTAAAAAGTAATTTTTTAAAAAACATTTCAAATAATTTGAAGTTTTTTAATTAATAGTAGTAATTATGATAAATTTTTTAAGTAGTAATTTAATTAGAATGTTTAAAAGTCAATATTAAAAAAATAGAATTATACAAATTATATATATAAATATATTCAAAATAAAAAAAATAGATTTTTAAAATTAGGTTTTGTTTCCTTTAATTTTAGATATTATCTAAAATTAATGAAATAAAATGATTCAGAACGCAAAAAGCTAAATCAATTTATTTTCATGGCATTATCAAACCAATGATTTCTAGTGATTGTAATCTGATCGGTCGATTTCATGGCAAAGTAAGTAACGTGTACAAAATGCACATGTTGAATGTATCATAAAGCTAACACATTTGTAAAATATGCCGACTATAGATCTATGTATCTTAGCTACATTTTTGCAATGTGTACATCATGAAATTCGCATATTTCTATTAAATTTAATTAGCGAAAATATTCTCGTTGAAAATATCTTTGCATATAAATATAAATAAAGCATCGAGACTACGAAAAACGGTTTGAAAAAACAAATATTTAAATATATATAAATATATAAATCTATATGATTACTATAATATTGGAAAGTATTTGGCTAATGTCCATCAACATAATCCAAAAAAAAAATTCAAATTTGGCAAATATAACATAATGAATTTGTTACATGTTTTGTTATATATTTGATATATATCTCAAAAATTTCAAAAATGAATAACCAACAATTCGATTCGCTTTTTTATCTTGTATATTAATAAAAAACTTTGAAAAATTTAATAAAAATTAATTAAAATCTTTTTTTAATAAAGAAAGAAATTTAATTTATAGTTTATGTCTTATTTAATTAATGTATTTTAACGTTATTTTATAAATTTATTATAATATATATTTAATAGATTATATAGGATATTTATTGTCTTTAATGAAAAAAAGAAAAAAAATAATAAGAAAATTCTGAGTATCTTCAATATTTCACTAATTGACCAATTTAATATATATATATATATATATACACTCTTATAATATATTTGGAACAACATATAATTATTTTTAAAAAAGATTAATATTGATTAAGCATATAAAAGCGGACATCTTAGTAATATCAATGGAATAATGTCTGCTATGATGTAGACACGTTGACTTGTTGATTCTTAAACGGTCACGCATTATTCATTCCTCGATTAGTATTCTATATAATGTTCTATGCAACATTTTACGTCAATGTATTTTTTTAGATGCAATGCTCAGAAGATTGATTAAATATTTATTATCTCGGCAATTTTTGAATTCTTTAATTTTCTATTTCTATTAATATTCCTATAATTAATTTTCTAATTGAACTTTTTTATTCTAATTTAAGAAAAAACAATTTATACTAATTTACTTTTTGAATCAGCATATTAAAATAGAGCGAAACATAAACTACTAAGTTGCATGATAAACGAGATCAAGGTTGATGGAGTATGCTTTCTCTGAATCACCATGACTAATCTAACCAACATGTATATAGATTCTGATTGCGAATTGTCACGTCCAAGGGAATGCGCTGTTGATGGTATGGCCTTATCTGCACGTCAAGAAGACCAAAGAAAGATATTGCCAGGTGTAGGAGGTATGTTCACATTGTGGTGCGATGGAATTATACAAAAATGTCTGCTTTGATAATGATAGTGATTTGAGAACGAATTTTAATACGCAATAATTCTAAGTTTTTCTTGGCAAAAGATAAGAAAAAATAAAGATTATAATGAATTGAAATAAAAAAATAATGATGATTAATTCTCAAAATAAATGATGGAAAAAAAATATATTGTATATATTTTTGTTATGTGATTAAGATATGATTAATACAAATATTTATATTCAAAGTAAGCAATAATCGTTGCAATGCAAATATTGAATAAATATTGATTGTAAAACTGAAATCTATTTTGTTTTTCATTTGATTTAAATTGTAAATTCTTTTTTGAAATGAGTGATAAACAATTACTGAGAATAAATAAAGATGCTTAGTTAATTCCTCTGATTCTTTGATCAACTTACATTGACGTCATTCCATTGCTCGTTTTCTCCCAATTGACTTTATCTTTATACAAAGACCTTTAAAATATCTTGTTATGAGCATCTATATTGTGATTCTAGAATCTAGTGATTCCACCTATGATAATTTATTTGTCTTTTAGAAATATTTGTTATAAATATTAAAATGTATAAAAAAGAAATCTTATCTTTTATTTGTCAAATCAAAAAAAGAAATATTTTAAAATATTAGTAATAAAATCTAATTTGTGATAATAAAAATTCTTTGAAAATTTTTGAAAAATATTTTGAAATCTTCAATTTTTCTCAGATATTAAATAAAGTTTTTATATAAATCTATTCTTATTCTTTATAATTATATTATATTGTAATTTATATTACGACTTAAATCCATCGCTAACGAACAACATTCTATGATGGATCCATAAACACCATAAATACAAAGCATCGAGTTAAAACGAGTAGCTCATTGACTTTTAATTTACTGGGTATCTAGGTCGTACAATGTTAATACCCAGTGCCGCTCTTATTATTATAATCGTTGATTGTCGAATAGACGCCATTTTAGAAACTCTGTAAAAATCAATCTCCTCTCTTTCTTTCTTTTTTTCTTTTCCTACATCTTTTTTTTCTAATATTATATTAATTAAGCAATAACAAGGAGCAAATGTCGTTAATTAATTTTAATATTCTCCATGATATGTTATTCGCAAACTTCTATTTTCTAATAAATATAGATTCTTCAGAAAACGATAATTACAGGAAAAATAAATATAATTTATTTGATGTAATAGGAGTTTGATTTATGACACTTGAAATAGGATTGGACCAGTTAATGAATTAGAATGGACTTCTTAAACAATTAAACAGTATGATTCAATGGGAAACGAAACATATAGTATATAGTTAGAAAAAAAACATATAGTATATATTAATTATATTATATTATATTATATTATCTGACAAAACAAATTTTGTCATATCGTACTATAAAAAAATTTATATTATAAAGAACAAATAAAATAAATAATATTGATTAATTAATTATAAATAGCCAATAGAAAACTCATAAGAAAATGATATCATTATTATATGATAACAGTTGTTATCAATTGAACATTACATTCGAACAGATCATCAATTTGAAGTTGTTTAATGAAAGCTGTTTAATGAAATAATTAATATAATTAGTATAATAAGGAATTATTTTTTTTTTAATAATTGGATGTTTAATTCGTTACTTTTTTATATCTTTTAGAGATTATATGAAATGATTTTTGAAGAGCATTTTTGGTTATTTTATTGATGAGATGGCAACTTTCAATCACAGAGAAAGGAAAGGAAACTATAACCGATATTAGAAAAAAATTGATTTAAAATTTGTTTTAATTGTTAAAGCTATTGCATGCAACAATCAATCGATGTATTCTAATAAGAGAAGAAAGTATATAATCTTAGATATTTACATTTCTAATTCATGCTAAATGTTTTTAGAAAATGCAATATATGATTTTTATTTTTACATTTGACTACTTTACTATAAATTTTTATAAAAAAATTCATTATATAAAAACATTAACAATAAGGAATTTAATAAGTATGACAAAAGGATATAGAATTCTTAGTTTTTTTGTTAAAAAATTGTAAATTCGATTTTCTATTTTTTCTTTTTATATATTATATATTCATATTCATTATATATATTCATTATATATGTATTATATTCATTATATATATCTGATAGAAAATAAAGAAATAGCAGTAG